GGCCACTTCTGCAGTCGTTAATCTGGGATCCATTTCGATCATCCTCTTGACAGCCCTTTTTGTCCTCTCAGATAGACCAGGACGACCCGAACGCTGCTCAGTTTTTTCCTGAACTGCACGATGATTCTGTTGACTGTCGAAAGCGGGATTCCCAAATTCTGCGAAATTTGACGCTGACTTATTCCACCATCTGCTTGACCAACTATCCTTCCTCTAACAAAATCTGACAATTCGAGTGAACCTTGAGTTCTAGGCATCTTGTAGCACAAGATAATTAGTGTGCGGACCATTTTCATTTATATAGTGCTCTGTGAACACAAATTAGTTAGCATAAATCAGTTAAATGACGAAAAATTAGGTGTCTATTTACTTGTGGCCACTCAGTGTATATAATAAGAAAACGCCAAGTTTATTCGTCGGTAACAGCTAAAACATAACTAGTGAATAACTAATATTTTAGGATAGGAATACAATAAAAATGAAAGATTTGGCAAATTGCATATCCCTTTCCAATTTTCAATGGCACCACTCTTCCTGCATAGGAAACATTGTCAAAAATTTGTTCTGACACGCGTCTTTCAACAACAACCTTATAGAGGGGTTGTCACGTGACCTGGGTTATATATATTATTTTTTTTAATATAACATAACCAAACCTCTGTTCATAGGTGATTACTAGAGGCAAGTATCGAGGGAAATAATCAGTTAAAAATCAATATGAAAAACGTAACAGTACGACTTATATTATAAACTAAAAGAGACAACAATGCGCAGCTGGATACTTTGTTATCAACAGTGATTTCGATCATTACTGTGTTACCCAACTAACAAACAATTTAAAATTATTGAATGTAAAACATATTTTTGGGTATTCTTTGTTGTAAATAGTGATTTCAACTGTTACTGTTGTACATAAATAACAAACAATTTAAAATTATTGGAGTTCATTATGCAGCAGTTGGATATCTGTAGTTATCTTTGCTACTTAAATAACATACAAGTTAGTATGGAAATGAAGAAGGGACAACTTGTTTGTTTTTAGCTAAGAAACAAGCTACAAAATGGGCTATTTGTTCTGTGCCTACCCCGGGTATCGAAACCCTATTTTTAGCATTGTAAGCCTTTAGACTTGCTGATGTGTCACTGGTGGACAAAGGAGGAACGAGCATTTAAACGAATAATTAAAGGAGTAAGAGAAGCTGTTCCATATAGACTTTTATCTGCCTTGGCATTACAAGCTGAACACACCTTACTTTAGGACATATCGTGGTATTTACGTTCTTGGCGAACTCAGTTGTCTGTACCAACTCAGTGCTTTTACTGTTCACAGGAGAAAGGAGATAGAACATTGACTGGATCATCCCACCCAGTCAATAAAATGTAAAATAATTATTATCGAGTTCATATAATGATACAATGTAGATAAATTAACAGTGTATTAATATTCGAGAATCTTAAGGATATATTTGGACAAATTATTATTTCATGTATTGGTAAATTACAGCTAAAAGAACAGTGTATTAATACACTAGAAACTAAAGTATATATTTGAACTAATTAATATTATTTCATATATTGATAGAATACTGTTGCGTCAGCAAGGTCACGTGACTAGTATCACGCCACGTCCTTCTCGAATCTTTGTGAATTGTCTGGAGACTACTAGATTGGAGGTAGCCTGGTATATATAAGACGGTCACAACGTGACGGG